ACACACTTTGACTGGGGTGTTGTTGCTAAGGGCCTAATCTCCACCATGAGAGGCAGCCATCCAATAGCTGTGAGAGCTGTTAGTTGGGGCAACCACAGTTTCCTGCATCACACTAAGCAAGAGGGTATGCAAATGTTCAGCAAAAAGTATGGTGTGTGAGTGACTGCAGACATTATCATGCACAAGTGTTTTCATCACACGTGCCTACATGCAGACTATTTCACATCAGCACAGAAGCAAATTAGAGGAAGTGTAGCTGTGGATGGTGACCTTTCATTGTGGCATCAAACTTCCTGCTGTTTTATTTTAGGATATTGAACTTGTGAACCATTCTTGCTGCTTGTGTTCACGGTCTGCATTTAGAAATGGTAAATTGCTAAATGTAATTTTCTCCACACATTTCAGAGCTAATGAATAGAGACAACACCCCAAGCACAGAGGACGATGCAGCGTCATTGGTGTGGAATAAAGCGATTGCTCCTGTTCTCCAGCAACTGGAGACTGCAGCTGCAGGTAGCGTGGCCAATTCAACAAGGAACCTCAAAAATAAAGTACAAACACAACAACTGACTAAATTCATTCATTTGATCCAAAGAATGTAGTTTCTATCACCCACTTCACTCACAATGTTGCATTTTCTTTTCAGGTTGAGGAGTGTCTCCAAAGCTGATTGAAAATATATTACTGAGGAAAAAGAATTTTAGCACAAGTAGATAGTCATGCATGAAATCACCCAAAATGAAAAAGCACTGTCATTTGAGCCACTGAAGAAAGGCAAACAAAATAATGTTATGTTTGGCATTCACACAGAACTGTCTTCAATGAGCTGAAATTTATGGCGGTAAATCTTTTAACACTCTACACATTTAATGGAAAGTTCATTTGAAAGGTAAATATTAAATATTTATTGTAGCAAGTTCCATCTGGCTTGTGCATAAAAAAACCTTTTAGATCCAGTAGGAAATTGCTGCAAAGTGTTGAGTCTGAGACTGTAGCCAACCTTTTTTTTTTTTTTTATAAATTGTCAAACCCTGTTATTTATACAGGCAAAAACATTTATTTTGCTTCAAAAAAAAATAAGGAAATGACTCCATCCTTTGTCTTCCTCTGTGTCAAGATTGTTGGTGCCTGTTGCAGAATTGTTTCCCTGCATTTGAACAATGAAACTCAAAGCTGCTCCTTAGGAAGGGGAGGGGAATTTTACTGCTGACCCATGTATTACTGATGTTGAGGATTTAAACTCAAGTAAATAATAAATACAGGCTTACACCATGCAGTAGAGCCTAAGTATATTATATTACACAGACACCACAACATATACACACATCACTCACCTATATTTATACAGATGCACACATGCCAACACACACAACTGAGTGTTTTCATTTTGAGGTGTTTGCTTTCTCTGTGAATGTTTGACATAAAGTTGACATAATATTTTGTAATATCTGCTTTCATGTAATGCCAGGCAACTCTGAAGCCTCAGTGGACCATCTATGTGATTTGTGTGACAGTCTCCATGGTACCTTGACACAAGTGGACATGCTCGGTCGACGCTGTAAGAGGAGGTCACGGATACTTCGAACACTGTTCCGCCTCATCGACCTAAACTCTGCCCAGCTCAACCTGCACATCGCCAAGCTCTGTCTTGCTGTGAGTTGTGTGTGTGTGTGTGTGTGTCAGTGTGCCTACCACCAAGTCTCTATCACAAGGGCATCTAAGGTAAACCAGAGCTTATTACAAAAGTTGAATGAGTTATTTTTTTTTTCAGCTTTATGTCAGTGGAAACAACCTGCTCAATATCTGCAAGCTCATCTTCCAGATCAGCCGCAGCGAAAGCAATGACGTCTTCTTCCAGAACAACTCCATAATAGGTCAGGATGACCTAGTTCATTGGTTACCTATTCTCTACCTTGTCCTATGTTCTTAAATATAAGGGTTTAATAAGGGTATTAAGGGTTAATTTTTATGTATCTGTTTCTACATAATACCATATTTGTGAACCCCTATACCCAGTCATTAGAAAGAGCCAGGATGTCATCTAATGTGGATGGCATGGTGGATGGTTGTTTTTTTTTTTTTGTCTAGACTTGTTGCTGGGAGTGCTGAGCAATGAGGATGTGTCTTCATCTGGAGAAGCTCTCTTGTACTGTGTTGGAACTCTGAAATTTCTCTCAGGAAACAGTGCAATCCTCAGACTCCTGCTAGAAAAGAACTGTATTGGCGTGGCTCAGAAACTCATCCACAAGCTGCACCCGGTGAAAGAAACCCACTTCACCATAACAGGGCACATCCTTGTACAGGTTTGGAAGATGTAACACTACTGAGAAGGGCTGGGTAAAGCTTATTAATGATACTGTAAAAATTGTGAATCATTTGATATTTGGTGGATAGCAACATTTTTGAACTGATAGCTTTTAGAATGAGAGATTTGTTCAGACCTGGTCTTGTCTGCAATCACTAATACATCACAAGCCAGATGCAAACTTAAACCATCCACCCCTGCTGACAAAACAAGTATTAAATGCTAAATGGTGTCTTGTACAGGCCAACAGCAAGCTCTCATGAACCTATGACCAACATTTTGTGCTAGCTGCAATATATCACTGATGCAACTGTGATCTAAAAACTGACCCTTAAGGTAGCATATATGCAGACGTCTCCTTGCTAACCCACACTCTGACCAATCTTTCTCCCTTTTTCTCTCCCTTTGTTCGCCCTGTCTGTAGCTCACAGCAACCCTGAGAAACCTGGCCGATCATCCTGATTCCCGTCCACTCTTTGTCTCCTTCTCAATTCTGTCAGAGCTCTGTCAGGTGCTGCGTTATCACTGCAAAGACCAGGACATCTGCACCAACATTTCAAGAATATACAGGTATCATACATGTACTTCCATATGGTTATAATAATGTAACCTCAATGCCTGACCTCACTTGTAGTTTGGAGTCATAATTGTCTTTGGTTGTGGATAACCTCTTCCTTATTTCTTCCTGCTCCTCTCCTTAGCTTAGTAGCGTTAGTGTGTAATAAAGACTGTTTTTCCAATGCAAAATATGAGGCTAAACAATTTTACTGGATTTTAGTGCTGATAAAGATGATTGTAAGAAGAATATTATTGCCCAAGATAATGAAAACGTAAGAGCTAGATCCCAACCAAGGCCTTCTTATCCATTAGCACTGTTTGTCAGTGGTATTTGTTGTCCCCTTTCTCCTTCAGTAAACTCTCCTCTTATACGGAGTGCCGCATCGCTCTGGCCCAGACCCCTGGCTGCTACCAACTATTTTTAGAACTGCTGAGCAAACATCGCCAAAAACAGGTGAGCGTGTGAGCTTCCTTTGGATTAGTGTGTGTGTGTGTGTGTTCTTGAGTTTGTGTATCAGAGAGAGATAGAGCTGTTCATGATGGAAACATGTTTACCTTCAGAACAAGTTGTTTATGTACCTCAAGTTCAAGTACATTTACAGGACATCATGTTCATCTGCACATAGTGTTCATCTCTCTTCATCTCTATGTGTGGGGTGTGTGTGTTTCTTTTGATATTTTATCATCCCAGGAGGAACTGCATAAATCAAAGAAAGGAGAGAAGGGAGGGAAGAGAAAAAGAAAAAAAAATAAAGTACTTGAACCTGAACTTGAGTAGAGCAGAAGTGATACAGGGGGTTGGGGGGAGTAGACAAGACGGGGAGAAGGAGAAGAAAAGTGTTGGGACTATGGCACTGATGACAAGACTGACATGTTTTTAGGAATATGCACATACCCACTTTTTCAAATACACACACAACTCAACAAACGTGAGCGCCTAGTCCTGGGACGGCCCGTCCTGAACTCATTCCTATGTCACTGCACATTTATAGGAGAAATGAGTGTTTTCTTGCTCGCCTACTCTTCACGTTGTTTACAAAGGAGAGTCAGGACATAAGTGTGATATACAGGGTGTAATTTATCACCTTTTTTTTCCTTGGTAAGTGTGCAATAACTCATTCATAAGGTAGGGTGTAGTTACATTCTAACAGGTTCACACTCCGCCAGACCTTCTAGGGTAAATTACTTAACTGACAACAGTGTTAATCGACAGGGCAGGCTCACTGTGCTGCATGTGTAGTTGTCATTGATCTTCAAATTGTAAACATGGTCTTACAGGACTTGCTGCTGAGTATTTTATATTTTATAGTCAGAAACAATCAAACTTTACCTCCCTTGTATTTATTATAATCTACTGTGAATATGCCAGAGCCAAAAGCTCTGGTCAGTCAACAGTAAATTAATTGGCAGCTGTTTTGATTACTGAGTTCCAAATTTATATTTCTTATTTGTAAGTTCAGTATCTTCGAAAACATCACCTTGGGTTCTGGGAAATTATCCTGGTCAGTTTATGCTACTTTCTGACATTTTTCTGAGAATTAAACAAGAAAATAATTGACAGATTAATTGATAATGAAAGTAACTGATATTTACAACCATAAAATACTTTTTTTCATTTAGCTGATAAATATGAACCTTGGAACTAATACATTAAAGTTCATAATATATATCATATAGCACATACACACTATTTATTTTTTGCACTAATAAATTAAAATGCTGTAAGAGGAAAAGTGGATCAATTGAACCTTGTTTGAAGCTATGAAATTTGGCTAAGACAGTATGGCCTTTCAGCCAGATGTGGAAGAGAAAGTTACATTTAAACTAAATGTTGCTTTAATTCAGACGCTTGAAAAATATTTGACAGATGCAAATTGATTGCTCCTGTCCCACAGGACCTTGTTGTGCGCCTTCTTTTCACCCTTGGGAACCTCACAGCCAAAAGCAACGAGGCTCGCCAACAGCTCTTCCAGTGTGAAGGCTGCATGGGCAAACTCCTCCAGCTGTACACCAGCTACCAGCGAAGAGATGCGTCACCACATACTTCCTCACAGAAAAGTGACCCTTCCCCCAGCAGACCTCTTGCTGCTCCCATGAGTGTGCAGGAGGATGACGATGTGCTGGTGAAGCTGGTCAGGGTTCTAGCAAACATGTGCATCCATCTGGCTGTAGGTCCGGCTTTGGCAACCAACACAGCTTGCATTGAACTTCTGATGGAGACACTCGGTGAGCAAAGAGCAGGAGAGACTCATCAACATCCCCCTTAAGTCATTCACTTTTTATCTGTATACTTTTTTAAATGACAAAAATGGCAGCCAGTAGCAATGGAGTTGTAATACTAGATTTATCCATATTATGTCTCTGTCACACAAAGGAAGCAGTCTGTGAAAATCTGTTAAGTTTAAAAATAGCTGTTTAGTGCACTGAAGTACAGTAAGTATCTGCAAGGCACCCAACCACTTCCTTTGTGCTGGGAACAAGACATGACTTTGGTCGAAAACACACTCCCCATTTGTCTGTTCATTCCATCGCTCGCTTTCCTCTCAGTGCTTTCTGTTCGATATGCAGCACATCCTCTTTTGGTTTACCTGTTTTTTTTTTAAGTCTGACAGAATGAAGCGCTTCACTGCATGAGCAGGATGTTCTGTGGAACCTCATAGTTGACTTGGTTTTTGTGTTTGAAATTCCCCCATGTGGTTAGATGGTTTCAGGACAGGTTGAACTGATACACAGGTGGGTGTGAAACACATGATTTCTTTTGCTGCCTACCTCCTACACATGTTTGAAGGCAGTTAGGAGAAAGAATTAAATAAACAAAAAAGTGGCCAAAGTAGTGAAGGTAAATCTCAAAAGAGGGCTGGTGGTTAGTCAGTGAATAAGATGGGAAGTAAATTAATTAACCGAAGAAAGAAATATAAAATGAGCACCTGAAGAAGACTATGGAATCGGTGTGACAGCTGGTGACCAAAAACGAAATGTCAGTGGAGCATGAAAGAGCAGACTTGGCCGATTGATGTCCTGTTTTGATCAAGTTAATGACAAGCTGCTCTGCTTTATACTACATAACTTTGAAGGGGATGGAGGAGTGCCACAAAGCGGCATTACCAGTCAGACCCAGAAACTAAAGTCAGTGTGACACAGGCGCCAGTTGACAGTGCAACCGCAATATCCACGATTTATGACCGAGCATATGAGATCTGCTGCTATATCAGGAACAAGCTTGCCTCAAAGACACTCACGGTGTCATGGCTGGTTAGATTGGGTCACATCGACCTCTGTGTGCAGCTGGTGATCAGATCAACTACATCAGGCCAAAATTAACTGCTGATAATAACTGCTTTTGTATGTCACAGTGTCACAACAGTGTTGCAGCTGCAATATGCAAAAACACTGTGCTCTCTGTATTTCTATATATATATTGATTTTATTTATTTCAAACCATGTTGCAGGTGTTTCAAGAATTAATAGTCTTACTTTAGGTTCTCACCTTCATCAACACTAAAGGAAGTGATGCTTTTGCCTGGATTCACCTGGTTAGTCATTTCAGACCAATCTTCAGAATAAGATTCACTTCACATAAATGAACTGTGAGCAAAAATATTTCAGGATCATGCCTGTTTCTGTTGTTCATGCAGTGCTGATACTGCTGTCCACTCCCCATTTTATACAGGAGGACCTTTATGGCAAAAAGACAACCATCCACTTCCAGTTCTAAATAGAAAATAATGTGGACTGAAGGTTACTTTTACTCATGATTATTTTCTTTCTTGTCTTTCTCTTGTGTGTGTGTGTGTGTCTATGGCACAGAGTTGAGGTCTGTGGAAGAGAGTGAGGAGTTGTTGGTGAATGTGGCTGCCACCATCAACAACCTGTCCTTCTACCAGGAGGAAATCTCTGTAATCAGACACAGTCAACTCACTATTGCAAAATGTAAGTCTGAAGGAGTGGTACATTTTTATGTAGGCTGGAAAAATAAAATCAATGAGTCTTTGTCTCATGTACTAATTTAACACTTTTTTCAATTCTCCTGCCTTTTTTTTTTCAATCATCCTCCCTTTGACTCCCCTGTTTCTCTATTTTTTGCTGCTCACCCTGTCACTATACTTCAGTGATGTTGAAGTTGGTGCTCAGCTACAGTATGGATGCAATGCTTGAAGCCACCCGTGTATATGGAAACCTGTCACAGTCCAAGGATGTGAGAGACTTTATTATGCAAAACAAAGGTACGTGGTGGACACAAACACACAGATACATGCATATTTTATGTATGCCATATTCCTTTACTCTTGTAAGAAAGCTGGCAGAAAACTTGTGTTAGCATCAAAAAATGCACAAACATGTCGTTAAAGCCTAATAATACAGAAATACATCAAAAAGGGCTCCTGTAAATATGCATGAATTGTATCATCCGAGCACACAAAGCTTTTACAGAAAGCTGAGTAGTTACATCAAATACAGCCCAGTACAATACACTCCTCTGCATACTCAACTTGTGTTTAGGCTGCACTTATCTGCAAGGCCAGCTACAGTCAGTATAAACATGCATGCTAGTGATAATGGCCCTTTTTTCTTTGACCTGTTCATCTACTCCCTCACTCTGTCATCTTTCTCCTCTCTCTCCACTAGTGCACCGGTTTGTCGTGGCGCTGCTTGACTCAAAAAGCCCTGAGATGTGTTTTTCAGCCTGTGGGGTCCTCACCAACCTGGCTCTGGACCCTCCCAACCGGGTCAGTCTCTCACTAGAGGGAGCTTCTGCCAAGTAAGGACAAATGCTCTTAGAGATTAAGAGTATATGAGGGTGTGTGTATACAGTATATAGCACATTTTTATTGTATTTGACAGACAAGTTACAGGCCTTTCATTCACTCTCACTCACTCACTCCGGTCAACATCTAAGTCAGGCCCGACAATGGTTGCACCAGTCACTTCTGCTGGTGTTGCCATCATTAAGCCTATCAATGCTGTTAAGTACTGGGGGCGCAACTCCTCTCAGTACTGCTCTGGCCCTTGGGATGGTTATCCTCTTCCACCCTTTGTGAGCTCCACTAGGTGTGAGTGACACCTATTCTGCTGACCAATGGGTGCCATGGCACCTCCTCTGCCCTTGCCTTTGGGGACTTCCAGGGTATAAGCCCTTTCTACACTACAACTACCACACTAGACACATACCACCCATCCTGTGAGCATTCACATAACTCTCTGACCACATGACCTTTCATTAAAAATACTAAAGGTTCCAAAAATGCAGATCTAAAATGTTTTTGGGGAAGGCACTTAACTGCCATGTTTGGCAAGAATTAAGTGAGAAGGTTAATCCCATTCTCATGGTTGTCTATTAAATGCAGCCAGAAGCTGGTTATCTTAGCACAGCACAAAGATTGGAAATAGAGAAACAGCTACCTTGGCCCTTTTTGAAAGTAACAAATCCCCCCTCACCAACACTTCTGAAACTCCCTGGTAAGCATGTCATATCTTGTCTTATCCAAAGAACACCCAAAGAGTAAATACAAAATGGTGTGGTTTCATGGGGTATTGTATGCCAGGTTATTACCTTTTTCTCATCTAACTCTTGTCAAGAAAACAATGACATGTATTTCCCACAATGCCAATGCCAGTTCTTATTTCGTCTTTACACACACACACACACACACACACACACACACAGTATTCTTCAGATGTAGGCCTAATGGAGTGGAGCTAATGCCCATGTGAATCCCACTCCCTTGAGTCATTTAATGTTTGTGCGACTAGGCTGGTGGACTGTCTGAGAGACTTGGGACCAGGTGATTGGCAACTGGCGGGGCAGGCTTGTCAGGCCTTGTGGAACATGATTGGCGGGGGCTCAGAGCAGTTGCTGGACCCACAGGAGAGAGAGTCACTTCTGGAAATCCTCTCTGCATATTTAGGTTGGTGTTATTACTAATTCCTGCATAACAAAAAGGAGACATGCCGGAGAGAACATGCTGATTTTGACACCAGTGGCCCTCAGGGGAAAAAGGAGGGACACAACTATTCACACTCTCATGAGCACAATATCTCCATGGTCTCATGTGGAAGCTGCCTCAACACAAAACAAGTCACTGTAAAGTATTGAAAATAAACACAAAACTTCACACTGCCCCCTTTCATCCTCTGTCCACTATTTTTTTCATTTATTCCTTAGAAGAAGAGGAGGCTCTGAAGTGGATAGAAGATGAAGATTTGAGAGATTTTCACAGGGCATACTGGGAGTTGGAATTCCTACCTGTAGCTCAAAAACTGAAGAAGACTCTCCAGGCTCCTGACCTGACCACCTGACACACAGGGACATAGAGTTAAGAGTTTCACTTCTCTTTGTATATTTGTTTTAAACTCTTAAATACTTAAGCCCAGAGAGTATATTATTATTATTATTATTATCATCATTATTATCATTATCACTTCCCTCCTGTGAGTTTTAAAGGTGGCTGTAAAGCTTAATCGTCATCGGTGTGTGAATATGTGTGTGAATGGGTGAATGGTGTATGATCTCCTGTAAAGCACTTTGGCCAGTGCAGCACACTGTGAAATATGCGCTATATAAATACAGTCCATTTACCATTTTAATAGTTTCCTTTTTCATAGGGAAAGCATGTGAGGTCAGCTTGATATCATGTCAATTACAGTGGACTCCATTTTTAATGTCTGAAAAAGGTAAATATGCAAAATTACATTATCTGTATGAATGGGCAAAAAATACATATGTATGTCAATTCTGTATATTTTGTAATAGTATGAGCATCTATTTTAATTTCCATCCATATTTAGTATGTATGTATGTATGTATTTATTTATTTATAATTTGTTCAGTCTTTGTCTTGTCTTGTCAATCCTAGCAGCCATTTTTAAAATCTTATTTAATTTTTAAAATTTTGGCAACATTTTATGCAACATTATACTCCCGTACAGCTTTCTGAAGCCTTAATTTCTGGGTATCTTTACATGTTCAGGGATCATTTAATACACTAATACTTTGCACATCTGCTTAACAGACTTAACAACTGTTTCCTGGATTCACTGCATTATAAAGATACTTTTATTATAATTTAGTCTTGAAAACTGATGAGTAATCTATGGCAAGCTATTTCAGCATTTATTCAATATCTTTGATATCAGATGTAATTTTCCTCCAATCGTTTGGTTTTTGTCAGCACTATTTGGACATTTTGTTGTACTAGGGTTTGCTTTAATCTTACTAGTTAACTAGTGAGGCTCAAAAATGTTTAGGGGAAAGTGGGGTGAGTTGTGCCAGTTTTTACTCAAAGTGACTTTAAAGTGAGGCCATGACAGTAATGCCTTCAACTTAAGAATGTACATATATTTCAGGGTGTTGTGCATCCCTGAGAACAATAACTTTGGGTTTGATATAAATTGTTTCAGAGATATAGCTTTTGGAAAAAAAGTGGTCTCGTGGCACAACTTGCCCCTGGTGCGGGGTAAGTTGTGCCTTTGAGGAGAATATGTTGGGGTAAACTGTGCCAGTGATTTCTGAAGTAAAACAGAGCATTTTAATGTTATGGACTGTAATGCGTTATGAAAGCAAGACAAATTACATACAAAATTACTCATTTAAGGTTTATTTAGGCCACTTAAAAACTGAATAAAACATCTGGTTAATAAACTCAAAACTTGAGGTATGGCCATCTCCTCACTTCTCCAGATGATCCCTTGTGGGTATGTAGGTCTAGCTGGTCTGGATCTGGCCTACTACTTAACATCCCACTTGTCAGTGCTGCAGGGGAATATGAACTTCTGCTCCCTTCTGGCTGTACCACCAAGTTTTTGGGGTGTGGGTAGTTTCTTGAGCACATCACCTCTAGGGATGACTCCATCATCATTTTCTTTAAATGTAAAGATGGGCTTTCCATACACAGACTTCTTAAAACTTTGCCTTAGAAACTTTGCGCTGATGTCTTCACCCTCAACCTTCTCCACCAATCCAATGTAGTTATAGGATTTGGTTTTACCAGCAAATCTCACAATGACAAAGTCACCAGCAGACAGATCCTTGTCACCATCATCATCATCATTCTGCACATCTGAACTCTCATAATCAGTGGTGTCATTAAGTGGAATGGAGATGTCACTCTCTTCTGAGCTACTGTGCACAACCTTTTCCTTTATGATTTTGGTTAGATTTGAGTCTTTCAACACCCATTTCTTCTGCCTTTTATTCTTTTTCTTTTCCTTTTCAGCCTTTTTATCCTGTTTTTCTTTGAATGCCTTCTCCAGCTCCATCTTCCCAGGTGTGTTGGTCATTATTCTTGTTTTTGCTTTCTTTCTCAACATTTTGGGCCTTCTTGCTGTGGCTTTTGGCAAGGGAAGTATACATTTTGGAGACACATAACTCCCATGGGCACCAGAACCAGTTTCATCACATGATGAGTGCTCAGGGTTTGGTTCCAGAAGAGTGGCAGGGGGCTTCAGTTAACCAGTGATGTCCAAATTATCCACTAGGCATACTAGTAAGACATTTTAACTCAAATGGTTAACTAGTGAAGTACAACTAGTTAAAAGAAAGGCTCAGTATCTAACTAAAATGTCCAACATGTTTTGTCAAAGTCTTAACATGTACGGTACAGTCCGACAATGTGCATGTACAGTGTCTGAAATAACAATATAATTTCTAATAAATGTGTTCATCATTTGTAAAACGCCTTGAGGCAATTTCCATCTGCTAATAAAAACATGTCTAGATGAAAGGTGTGTTTGTAATTACATGTGATTTTTATTTGTCAGTGGAGCCTGAAAAAGTTCGGCCGCTGTCCCCCACCGCCTCCTAGTGCGCATGTGCAGTGGACCCCAGAACGCGGAAGCAACCCCGGAAGAAAATCATTTGCCATGTGTGCCAGGCGGGCAACAATCAGTGGGGAAAATAAATAGAATAAATGAATGTATTAACGTTATGAAAAAAAAAATTCTCACAATACAGTGAAAAATCTCCTACCTTTTCCCCTTAATATATCCGCTGGAAGAATGGTCTTCATCTTGTGATTCAGTATCCAGCTGTTATAATATATTAATGTGACATACAAGGGTTGAATTTAGTTTACCGTTATAATCGGTCCTATCAGTGTTTGTTTCTGGTTTGGCACCATGAAGATAAACAAGAACACTACTGGAGGGACACAAAGTTGTGTCGGTTCTTTACAATGCAAACCACGTGCCCAGGTAACGTTAACATTAACACCTGATCAGTGTTATACACACGAAGCCTGTGATGAGTGAATGTCATTTGTTTGCTATCATATTTCATTACTATCAATGTTTAAACATGGCAGATGGGCTTTATTTTGACTTCTAAATAAGTCTGCAACTAATAATAATGTTGAGAAAACAATCTCATTACAAGTTCCATTTAGTAGCTTTTCTGGAGCTTTCGATCGTATCATACAGTCTCATGTGTCATGGAGCATTTGAAAGCTTTTTGTCCATGCTGGCACAAGGTGAAGAAATAATTTAGGGCAGGTGACACATCTGACCCAGCTGCCTATAGAAGCTTTTGATCCTTTGACAGTTTGAAGTCTCTCTAACTGGCACAGCAGAACCAGCTCCAGTCCTTTGGCATCTGGATACATGATTAAGTTAAAGCTATAGAAACCTGCAGTCTCTGTCTCTTATCCACCTGTTACACTCTTCAGGTATCATGAATGGATGAAGTGTCCGAGCTGCAGCATCTGACTGCCTCAGAGCCACCGACCCTGGAACAGGAGTACGACATGCAGTGGAGCTGGAGGGAAGATGGTAACAGTAAGACTTCTTCTGCAGTAAATGTAAACACAGAACACGCTCTTATTCATCCTCTAAAGCAGTTATAAATCTGAAGGCTTTCCAGACTTAGCCTTAGATTTGTTCATGTGAATAACTGGACATCTTTATTTCTCTGAAAACTACAAAGAAAAAAAAAATCTTTGGTTGAACCGATTATACAGCAGTGGCCGGAAAGATAAATCTAAGAGAACTTCTTTTAATTTTGTTAACGTATTCTAAGTTAGAGTAACAAGTTTTTAACATTCAGAATTTTTACAATGCCTACATAAATAAGCTAACACATTGTCCAAATACCAGAAGCTTATTTAATACAACTTATGATCGGATAAGGTGAAACATGATTCAGTGACATTTGCTTTATGAGGTCAACACTGCTTTCAAGTTCTGTCCTTATGGCTTCCAAATCATTCCTTCCAGACATTCATACCATCATGCATCAGCTTTGTTAGGTTAAAGTGTTTCTAAATAACTGGTGATCATTGGATATGATATGAAAATAAGACGTCATTCTTTCTGAGGTCATGCACTAATAAAATCATTCAAATTTTACTTAAAGTGTTAGTTTGTACAGGTTTCTGTGATCAGAGTAATTGTTATAACTAGGACAGACATTATAGGACCAAACTCCCCCCATGTATCTTTCAATAGGCCACACAACACATGGACCAGAATACGGGACTCGCACAGTGTTCCAGGCCCCTGTCACTCCTACATATGGACATCAACTGCAAGTTGATCAGGTGAGAAACATTCTAAAGTTGTGGTGGTTCAGGTACTATATACTAGCACTGACAAGTTCAGGTCAGACTGTAATTTCTCAGCCCTTCTTTCCTGACAAATTAATTTCAAAAGTGTTTGAGCAACTTTAATATAAATTGTAATGAAAATTCTCAATTTTTTATAACTAACATGGAGCACAGTGTAATTGTGTATTGCTTTAGTAAAAACTTTGTGTTCTATCTGTATGTTTATGGCAAACACTGTCATAACATAGTGATTAACCATTGTTCTCATGTTCTCATGTGAAACACAGCAAATTGATAGTACAGCTGGTAAATAGAATCCTCTTTTAAATTCACTGTGGAAAAACTTGTAAGCTGATTCTGTTGTTGCAGGTCCTGATCCTCCAAATGGCCAGAAACAAGGCGTCCATGGCTCTGGTGTTCTTCCTTGATGTTGCAAAGAAACCTGACTTTAGATCCAGGTACTGTGTGCAGTCTTGTTTTTTATAACTTCTGTGCACTTAACTATATCAGTGTTGAATTTTATAGCAGTAGGTTAAATTCTCTAAATTAGGCTTTATGGTAGTAACTACTACCGTCAACCTTGTAAGACTTAATATTTGTATACTTAAACACTGCACATTCTCACACAGCCTGCCTTGAATCCATTTCACAGTCATTAAGAAAATGTTTTTTATTTCAGAGGGAACATTTTTCAATTTTTGGCCCCTAAAAATGGTTATAGTTGTAATAGCTTTATTGAAGGGGGAAGAACAGGGCCTGAAAATCACACTGGTTCATGTATTTAGTGACCTGAACCAATGCCTGTTATCCTTGATATTAAAAAGCAGAACCAGGAAGTTTAAGTTGTAATAGCTTTATTGAAGAAAACCATAATGAAAACAAGGCTGATAATGTTGAAAACAGGGCCTGAAAATCACACAATCTCCTTCCCCATGTATCCTTCCTTTTTAAAGGCTGCTGAAGTTTTGGCCTGAGATGGGAAATCCCTACTGGTGGGGTCATCAAGGTAGAGTACCTCACTTTTTCTCCACGCTGTTACACTGCATGTGCCTGGACCACAGTTATGAAGACTGTAGTCATGTAATTAGAAGAGAAGTCTTCACAACTGTGGTCCAGGCATTAGACATGCTCTTGAACATGTCTAATGCAGAGTCACAAACAGCAGCATGAACATAATGTCCCACCATCTAGACTACCATAATAATGGGACATAAAAAGGCATTATGAAATAAAAACAGACTTGTGAAAAATAGCACTTTGAAATAATAACAATGTCCATAATCACAGTAAAAATAACTCCTAAAAACTTTAAGAATGATGAAGTACCACTTCTGTTTTAATATTTCTTGAATGATTTCACAAATTGTCTGTGCAAGTATATATTTTACACAATTTATTCATATGATTATTAATGTCAATGTTTTTATTTATTATTATTATTGAACACTGTGGGTTTCCACAAAAGGCTTTACATCTGAACTGTTCTCACCTGTAAACCATCACCAAGTGTTTAGGTACTTCCATACTGATACCAACCTGTGCTATGAGCTACCCATAATGACTATAAGTAAACAGCTACAGTAGTTTTCCTTTCAGCAAACAGCAAATGTACCACTGAACATTTTCACAGTATAAAATCTTTCCCTGGCAGCCAGACAGACAGAATGTCAAACTTTGGTTCAATTTGAGTTCACTTTCATTATTCTCCAGTCTCTTTGGAGTGCAGTACAGTCAGGGAACCTCTCTCTCCACCCACCTTATCTCTGGATATACTGTAGTCCCTAGGAGGTTGCAGTATATTCTTGCAGTACAAGTGTTAAACTTGAAAAGAAAGAAGCATAACTCAGTCTTGGCACTGTTGATCTTTTAGAGATGCACAGCAATAAACAAATAAAACAAACTGGATTAGAACTGTTTACATCAGGAAAACTGAAGTGCTGATAAGAGTTATCGGTTATTGCAGTCCCACAGACAAGCACAAAGAGCTTGAACCCCAACCTGCCCTACCAAAGTCAGTGGTATTAACCTCTGAGCTATGCCACCCGTTCAATAAGCACACATTTAGAACTTTTACTGGTCTCTGCTACTGGTTAACACAGAAGAGGAGGAGCTTGGTTTGATACAAGGCATCTCCCTGCTAAGGGCCCATGCCCTGACAGGATTTTGAACCCTGACCTGCTGTACCAAATACAATGGTGTTAACCACCAAGCTACCCAGCAGCTGGAGAGGCACACATTTGGAACGTTTTCTGGTTTCAGTTTCTCACATCATTGTCGCACGAGGCTGAGATTGCACAGAGATCTAAATCACACTCAAAACGATTTATCGTGCAGCCCTAATAATTATCTATTTCAGTAGACTTCTTACAGTGGTGTGGCCGTACAGTTTCTGTATTAATCTGTATTCACCCTTTCATTTCAGAGTAGAGCAGTCAGGTATCAATCACCCTGGTTTCGATTTGGGTCACATTCTTATGTTGACTCATTTGATAATAATACAGAAAGTCTTTTTTCTGAGTGGTTGCCTTGGTTTAAATGGGCTCAAATATCCCTCACTTTTGCTTCAAGGGGATTTTCGGAATCTTTTTTACAATGGGAGTCTATGGGAGAGTGAGGCGGCACTCTGGAATTTGCCACTTCACTCAAAAACCGTTCATTCTATCACAATAGCAAGGGCATTTTCTGATTCCTCACCATTTTCTCTACTGTTTTCATGTATAATTTGTATGTGGAAGTTTGAGGTTGGCAGAATAAGAACAGAAAACAGGTTAAAAAAAAATGTAAAAAGGCTGATGTATAGAGCTAGAGTGTGAGTGATGTCACCCTCTCTAGCTCTCCCTATTCAAAGGAATGGAGGCTGAGAAATGGCCAAAATCACTGAGTTGTGTCAGCATCCACACAACTAGGAAATATTTTGAGCCACACTAGTTAACTAGTCAGGATTTTGGCTTTCACTAGTTAATTAGTAGAGAAAATTGTAGGCCACTAGATAACTAGCGAACCTGAGCTTGACTAGCTAACTTGTCAGAGCTTTGGCAGTTCACTAGTTAACTAATAAGACTTTCAGTGTTGGTAGTTTGGTTCAGAAATCTGATTAGTTGGGAGCAACTAGTACAGCTCACGTTGGACAAAAATGACACTAGTTGTTGAAAAAGAGCAACGTTTCTGTTCAACTAGTATGACAAAATGTCTAACTTGTGCTGACAAAGACTGAACTAGTGGAGGAAAATTACATCTCATATCACAGATATCAAATAAATCCTAAAATGGCTTGCCATAGCAATTTACCTGAAGAGCAAATCTTTTGTCTGTGGAATGTGTGACTTTGGAACTTGCAGATAATAAAGCAGGAGAACGCAGCAAACAATTTACTTCTCAAAGCCTTTATTATTACACAGATATGGGGCCAGGCAGTGTCTACAAGTTACACCAAGTAGCCTAAAGTACAGCATTTCAAAATCACATCATTATAACATTGAAACAAATAAGAAATGGCACATGACGTAAAGACCCCTGCTGTCCATTTCCCCCAGTTTTACAAAATAGGGACTGTAAAACAACCACTAGACAAGCTGATGTTTCAGAGAACCCTAAGTAACTCATTGGCCAGAGCTCATAGCAAGCACTGCATCCACATAGCACTTCTAAGGTTGATATAAAACAGTTGGCCAACAGAAGGTTAACAAAAACAACTTCTATGCGACATATCATGAGAGAATCTGAAGGCAGTGTGATCAGTGGGGAAAACAGTCTCTGCTGGTGATTGCGTATTGACAGATGGGCCTCTGTGGCCTCGATGGGAAACACCCTGAAGTTCAGACAGATAATCAGCCTCATAAGAACAGTGAAGAATTTTTCCCAGTGAGGTGTGACATGGAGGCAAACAGGAAAAAGAGGTAAGGTGTTGTACAAGGAATTCCCCCTCATTTCAACCCTAATGCCAGTGAGGAGCGAGGAGAAATTTTGAACTTGATCGCACCACTGGAGCAAGGACCATTACCCAGTTTCCTGTGAGTCATACAGTTCTCAAGCTTTTACAGTAAAATAAAATTCACATCACAATCCCTCGACCAATGGCAAACTGAACTATTCTCCTGAGTTCAGTTTCCTGTTAATGAAGTCAGCTTTATTACCAAAGTGTACTTTGGAACCCCAACAATGGTCATATCTTTTCATGAGTGACCTTTTGCATAACAGCCCCTGAATATGTTTACTAACTACCATAGACACCTTAGTTTCTGTACATGCACAGCTGAGCAGTGGCAGTTAGCTGATGGTGCTTACTGTTTGACTCCTGAATTGTTTAAGCCTCTACATCACATACAATCTCTTTGATGAAGCAATGAAAACAAGTTGCTTAGAACTACAACTGATGCACAATTCAAGTTTATTTGTTTTCCATATAATTTCATATAAAAAGAACATGTCAGTAATTGACATCAGTCAGAGGTTTGGGGGGGACTCCACTTCCTTTCAAGCCACTTCCAAATGTACCATTCCTTTATCATCCTCATACTCCCCCTCCTCATCATCATCATTTAAAGCTCACTCATTCAGTCCAATTCTCTCAATCCAACCTCAGAAAAATGCAGTACTTTTATGGATTTAGTAAACAAAACAAACAAAAACACACACACACACACACACACAAAAGCTGCTTTTGCACTGGTTAGATTTCCCAAGCAGGGAAATAAGCACAGCTACAACCTTCTGTGTTCAGAAGCTATTGACACAGCGCGGGCCAGTCGGCTCCCCAAGCAATGGGAACGTGGCCACCTCGAAAAGGTCTCTGCTCACAAAGAGCACTGGGATTTAAAAAGAAAACAAAAGAGGTATTCATTTACTGGTAAAACTCACAATCCAAAGCTTTGAAAGTGTTAGCGCAACCAGGCAGCTGGGATAAGCGGAAGACAGATAAGGTGTGGTTATGACAACCGGAAGCAAATCCCTCCTGGAAAACCTGGTTTTTAACTTTCTTTTTGATTAGCTCCCCCCCACCCCCCAAAATAAAAATAAAGACATCAACAAATGACAAACTGTTCTTTCACAATAACGGCTACAGCAGAAGCCTTTCCTTCAAAGTGCTTCGCTTATTTTGACACATGAAATTCAGACATTTTCTCTATTATTTCTGTGAAATGCATACAAAACAGCCACGCCTCAGTCATCATGAACTCATTCACTCATGTACAAAGTCAAAAAAAAAAGGGCTCAGACAGTGTTCTTTACATTTCTCTCCACACCTCTCTCACTTTCACACACTCCTTGGATTAGCTTACATTGACATTTCAGATTTCAGGATGGGGTAGGGGACAAGGGGTGGGGGTGGTAATGCAGTGGATTCCTAATGGATAGGGGCTTTGGGGATATAAAGGGGTTGGGTGGGACAGGGTGATAAGGGGATCAATATGACCCCACTGAATACAACATGGGAGCAGCAGCATCAACACCTATGCACACTGTGCTGGATAGTTCAGGCACAAGTAAAAGTAAAAGAGAAAAAAAAAAAGTTCCCAAAGTTAATGCTTCCATTTCCCCTAAAAGCAACCACATCGATGACAACATCCGCTTCTCTCAATACAAAATGAAATAAAAAACTAAAGAAACTGAACAAGTACAACAGTGACAACAGGTTCAAAGTGCAGACTCTTAGTGGCTGCACAGCTTTCTGGGGATTTACTATGAATTGGCAATAAATGTGTTGCAAGCTTCAATACTGAAACGTCACCCTTGATGCCTCCTGTGTCAGTGTCAGTGCTCTGACCCGGCACAAACATCCCTGCTGAGCAGGAGTTTGTTCCCGACTTCCCTCTCTTGGTCAGTTTTGGCACTGCAGGCAACAAACTATCCACTTGTAATTTGAGATGACTTTTCTTCATCTGTTTTTTTTTTTTTCCTCTTGCTTTCCATTTGTTCTGATCCTTTTCTCAACATCCATTCAGAAAACACTGTCAGAACCCTGGGCTCCCTGCCACTCATATTATTGTTGAATTCCACCCCCCTTTAATTTTGTTTTCTTGAAGTGTCCCATAATGAGCAACAACGACGACAGTAAAAAGACAATGATAAAAACACCAAAAACACTTCATGTCATGTAGCGGGTGATCGCTCTCAGAGCGTATAACAGTTCTGCTTGCATTCGTGCTTCCATAAGAAGCAGATTAACATGGACCTGCAGGTGACAAAGAGAAAGCACAATGCTCTAGTTAGCCAATCAAAATACAGGAATCTGCAACTGAGAGCAGGAGGACACTCAGGATTTCATCTCACCTTCTCAGAGTGCTGAAACTGCCTCCAGAAACTCTCATACATTCGTTTGGTGGTCTTCTCAGGACTACACACCATGGTCTTAATATAAATCTTAAAGCTACGGTCCAGAAGCTGGTTTATCTCCCCGTAATCATAGTCATCATACCTGAGGATCAGACAAACCGTGTTAGAAGACAGGCAACAGGCTAATTGAGCATAACACATAAAATATGAGTAAGACCACACAAGAAAACGTCCTCCAGTGGCTGACCTGATGCCAAACATGCAGTGGATGTAGTTCCAGATGGCCCTACGCAGCATACTGGTATCCACATCCTTGTGTGTTGCCATGGTGTTATAGGTCAGGTTGTAGGCCATCTGGAACTTCTCATCCAGCATCTGACCGACATCAGGATACAGTCGATTGACCAGAGAGAAGCCATGATCCTCCCAGCTGTAATCCTGGAGAAGAGAGACATTCCTAGTTGACACCAGTCACATGGTCATCTGTTTAGCATCTGGTGCGCTATAGTCAGGCTATATTTCATCTCTACCTGCACTCTGAGTGTGGGTACATGCTCCCCGCTACGTGAAAAGTCCTGGTAACCATAGGTGGGGTCTTCAAAGTGGCGGGAGATGTCTCTGGAGGGGACGCACTCCTCATCCTCTGCTGTGACCACTAACATGCTCTCTGTTTTCTCCCTCTCAAAGCGCGTTGCCATCTCCTCCTGGCTGGCCTCCTCGTCATCACGACCCTCCTGCAGCTGCTTCATGCGCTCCATCAGCACTTCCACCTCACCACACACCTCCTAGGGAATCAAAGGTCAACATCCACAGTTAGGAAAGAGTCACACAAAATGCACAAATCCCAGTTTGTGGACAGTTTCTGAGACACCTTCATTCAGCTGCAGCTGTCAGTTAAATGCATTAAGTGTTTATGTCCTCCTCCCTCCCCACATTTACACAGTGTCCTTTATCACTCACCTGGTTGCCAAATGGATCATCATGATGATTAGAATGACCGTTGCCATTAGCAATGTCACACATGCAGTACTGGCTGAGGGAGGGGGGTCTAAAAGTGTGTCCGCCATCACAGTGGATCTCAGCCATGATGCCGCACCCAAATGTGAATGAGGCGAGGGAGTGGTAGTGTGTGAGGAGGACCACTGCATGGATCAACTCTGCAAGAGACCAGCTGTGTTCCTCTGCCTTCAGAAGGCACTGGAGAAAGAAAATGAATCAAGTAAAAACAACCTGAGTGATGCCAAGTAGAGCCAAATAATGACTTCAATATCACTCACCTTTTAGGAAGCGAGAAAGCATGTTCTGACCCTTAAAATCCCATTTATTGTCCCTTTCTTTTCCAGCCTCATCCCCCACCTTAAAAAAATATTTTATCCACCCACTCTTAGTGACTATACTTGTATTACTCTTAAATTCGTCATGTTACACAGCTGCAGTTATACTCCACCCTGTCTCCATGATCTCAGCTTCTGACATAAGACTCGTGTCCACCCTCCAGACCATGCCCGCCCTCTCACCTTCATGTGCTCCTTGGTGAGAAGCCATGGTCGATGGGCAAGGATCTTGTTGAGCTCTCCAAGCTGCTGCAGCTTCTGTGGTGCTTCACCCAGGCCGTTCAGCCACTTTGGATCTCCCCCAACTTGGAGGAAGTCGTTCACATGCAGGTTTACCAAATAGGAGCACTGGTGTCTAGCTGCCGCCTGCAGGATCAGGGGAGAAGAGAGAGTTGACAACTATATATTTAACAACTTGGAATAAAAAAAAGTTAAACAAGAGAAAGATTTGAGAGTTAAGTGTATGATCCTACCATGATGCAGATATAGTGTCGGTAGTGCAAAGATAAGGGTCCATCCATCTGCAGCAGGTAGTGCTGTGTCCGGAGAAAACTGTCCAGGTACTGTGGGTGGAATCCCATCACCAGAGAGACGTTGTCGAGGCGACCGAGGGCTGCAAACGCATCCTCAAATATCGATTGTGTCCTGGTGTCCACTTTACTGACTTGAAGAATCTGATGGGGGGAAAAAAAAAACAAACAATAAACATTGCAACAAAAACTCATTATCTATGAAAAAGACTAATGGTTTTTAATTTCTAGCAGGATTACAGGTTGTCCCATACTTCTTGTTCGGGGATAAATCTGCTTGGTCCGTTGCCTAATGGTCTTGGAATCCTTACACCCAAGTCCTACAAGGCAAAAATAAAAATAAAAACTTAAAAGCCCGCAACTGAAACCAGAGGAGAAGCTTTGAGCTCCGTTTGCCTTCTCATTTCTGCTGTCTCTCTACTGTCAACCCTGTTTCTCACCAGAGAGAGAAATCAGTTGTTTTGTGTGCACCAGTAAACACTTCTGACCTCATTTGTATTGCTTTAATGAGCCAAAAATAAATAAAAAGATCTGAATAAAATGCGATTTCGGGGTTTCTCCATTGTAGAAGTAACATGCAACTTCTCTGCAGTCACATTAAATTGATGCACAAAACCAGAATTAATAATAATTAATAATAATTAATGGGAAATCCAAACATGCAGACCGTGAGTTCGCTGCCATACAAACTTAAAGCTAACTAGAAAGCTCCCCATGTCCTCTAACTTGTCCAGACTTGTCTACTAGCGGACACTGTCCAGCAGCGCAAGCAGGTGAAGTGGATGAATGAAAGACCGCAAAATGTCTGTTCTTCAGAAATGACACTGGGTTGAAAACACAGAGTCATTTATGCATCTACTTCTTTTGAACCGACATCATAAAAGTAGTTAAAAAAACAAACAAACAACCCGGGGACGATGTGTTGAGCGATGACCACAAGCTCTTCTCACTCGTAAACAAGCCCGGACAAAAGACTGCACCGTGGCTGGTTTGTTCAAAAGACAAGTCGCCTGAAAACATCATTCATGTGACACGATTTTAAGTCCCAGCAGCAGCAGACTGGAGCTTTTTAAACGGTGCATTTAAAGAATGTTCCAGAAGCATTTTCTTTCTCTTACCCGTTTGCTGAGCCGTTCACAATGGGCACATATCTTTAACAAGCTTGTCACTGCAAAAGAATTATTTTCCACGCTTTCTGCCGATGCGACCGCGTGCCTCATCTCGTGTCTTCGCTGCACGTTGATTATTTTAAGGGTCTAAATGATAAAAAACTAAAACGTATTCACAATGGCTCCGTTCCCCTGTCTTTGTTCCTTGAGGCACTGGGTAAAGTGCTCAGTAGTCAGCTGTTGCAGCCCTACAGCAGAAATACCGTCCGCTCCGGCTCATACATTCGGTAAATAAGTCGAAGCTCGTGTGATGGACGTGCTGCGCGACCAATCAGCTGCCGAAAACAACCTCCCTGCAACCAATGGCGGCTTGCGTAGAACAAAAGAGGCGGAGCTAAGTGTGAGGAGAGACAGGGGAACTTAAAACGTGAGCAAAGGCAACAATCCCATAAGTAAACATCACTTCTCTCTCCTTCTTTTGTCCCTGCTAGCATTGATCACAATTGAGTTCATTGATATGCAGTGGACTTTGTGTGCAAAATAAAAGCAGTAATCAATTTAAAGTGACTGATTGGCTAGTTTTTTTAGGGTAGCGGTCCGCTGTGCATAGATCTGCATCAGCACGCAGTGAGATGGATAGCTGTGGGGCCTGCTGCAACAACAACAGCCCTTTCAGTTAGTGGTTTTTGCACCGCAGCCTATCAGACCACGGATAATGCCATTCCTCCACCAATCAGCCCATGCTGAAACAGTCCTTTAAAAGCCAGGAGGAAGCAGAGATAAGGAAGGCAGTTCTTATGGCTTTGTTTATTCCAGCAAGACTGTAACATGCTCCATGGAGCAGTGTTACTGGTTTATCACAATGCTATGGTTAGAAAGTCAATAATTACTCAAAGATGTACTGAAAAACAACACTGCTCTGCAAATTTTATGTTATACCATGACAGCCACTCTTATGC